CAGCCTCCGTAGCCTCTCTTAACAATGTTCCCATCACAGATATCTGTAGGGTTGCAACCTGCAACCCATACATTTACTTAGCTGTATGCTTTACAACAGCACGCATCCTCCGATGCCCTGTTCGGACACACTGTAGTTTCATCTGCTACAACTTCAACTCCGAAGTCCCCTCCTTCCACCGGAGGGCACTGCTCTGAAGTCACCTAAGTTGGAGCACCCACAGGGACACCACTCGAAGAAGAGAAAGTTACACACCTTGTGCAGTAACGTAGATTCTTCGAGATGTGTGTCCCTGTGGGTGCTCCACTACCCTTTCTCCTCCCTTCTACTTTGGAGTTTCACACTAATGATCTGCAGTAGAGAAGGCATGGTGCGGGGGTTGGTTGCACAGCACCAGATAACCACCTGAAGCAGTGCGAGATGGGGATCGCACATGTGTGACCCAACTGGAAACTGCTACCATAAATCTCCAATTACAAGCGCAGGGGCGCACAAACACCTAAAGTGGATCACCCACAGGGACGCACATCTCGAAGAACCTATGTTACTGCACAAGGTAACTTTCTCATCTCATCTCTATCCTAAACAAGTGGGTGTAAAATGGCTTCTGAACTATCAGAGACTACAAATATACTATAGGAGATAACAAAATGGGCAGAAAAGAACCTCCCTCCTCACAGGTGATTCACATAAAAGGGAAGTTGAATCAGAAAGCAGACTGGCTGAGCCAATGCACAGTCAGCAGAATAGTGCCTGAACCAGGAAGTCTTCAATCTGATCTTAAAGATGCTTGGTTTCCTCTTGGTTGATCTATTTGCAAGTTACAAAAAGACCAGCAGCTGAAATACTTTACCAGGGAACCCCAAGTCCATGGGAACAGAGTCCTGTCATACAGATGGCCAAGAAAGCTTGTGATATGCATTCCTTCCCTCTCATAAGAAAAATAATTCAAAAGATAATGCAGAAACAAGTAAAGGAGATGGTGATAATTGTGTATTGGCCAAGGAAGCCCTGGTTCTCTGATTTGATAGATCTAAAACTGCAAATCGCCATTACAGCTGCCACCCAGACTGGACATCCTTGACCATGGCTCTCTCCTCCACCCAGACCCAGACCATCTTCAGCTGAGAGCCTGGTTATTGAAAGGGAAGTGTTCTAACAGTACTAGGCCTATCTTCCAAAGTGATTAGGACTTTGTATGAGTCCAGGAGAGTCTCCATGATAAAAGCTTATTCCTCCATCTGGATCAAGTTCAGCATTTGGTGCCAGGAAAGCAATGCTAATCCAAGAGATCTGGAACTCCAGCTATCCTGGACTCTTTCAAAGAAGGTATGGATAAAGGTCTTCAGTCCAGCACCATAGCGCGCCAGGTATCTGCCACTGGTAGTATTCTATTCACAGGATCCTCAAGTTCTTTGGCACAGAATCCCAAGGTAGTCAGATTTGTCAGAGCAGTCAAACTGGCAGTCAGACCAGTCTTCCCTAAATGGGTCCCACTACTGGTGTTGAGGGCCCTAGCCATTCACCCTTTCAAGCCTCTGACTTGTATATCAGCATTTTGTCTCTCCATCAAAATCTGTTTTCTGGCTGCCATCATGTCTGCTGGGCAAGGTTCAAATATGGCAGTCCTATTTATGCAAGCACCCCTGAGTGTTCCATGAAGACAGGAGGGTACTGAGAACTGCAGTTGTTTCTCCCCAGCATGAAGTCTGCTTTCCATAGCTTGCAGAAGATTATCCTTCCTTCTTTCTGCTCAAAGCCACAGCACCCACCCAAGAAGCTGGGGCACAATTTAGATGTCAGAAAAGCACTATAAATCTATATCAAGTGCACAGAATCCACAAGGTCAGGCCCTGTTTGCCTTCTTTCACGCAAAATGTCAAAGGCTCAGAATCTCCAGGATGTCTCTTTTTAGGTGGGTCAGACGGTGCATTGTTGAAACTTACAAAAAGGATCAGGCACTTCTCTTTCAGAAGCTATCCAGGCACACTCCACGAGATCCACGGCAACCTTGTGGGCCGAATGAGCATGTGCCTCTACCACAGATAGAGCAGAGCAGCCACCTGGTCATTGGTTAATAGCATTGTCAAACATGAGAAAGTGGACATTCTGTCCTCTGCAAAAGCCTCCTTTGGCTGAAAGGTGCTCCTTGCAGTGGTCCAGTAACAGTCTTGCCTTTTGGTCAGTCCTCAAGGGGGAGGAGGTCTATTTAACTCTTTTTCTATTTACCCTTTCTTGTCCCTCCCCACTCCTGTACACTACTCACGACTTCCCACGTATAACAAAATTGTGGGAGATATTGGGCTGCAGAATGAAAAATTTCTTAAAATAATTTCCTTTCTGCTAGCAGCACCTCCCACAATTCTACCCACCTTGGTGGCTTTCTGCCAAGGATAAGCCTTTTATTTGCATATTTATCATGCAGGGAGTTGGCCTGGTCCACAGTTAATGCATTGGCTGTTGATGTTATGCTTATAAATATTTTTCTCTGAGTTTTTCACACAGCTTTGGAATGACTCACCTGGCAGCAAGGGGGAAAAGGGCACGTGGCCAGCATGAGCTGCACTGCAGCTTTGAATCACCACTGAAAGCTGCAGAGAGGAGAAGAGCAGCCATGTGTATAGCAGAATTGTGGAAGATGCTTCTAGGAGAAAGGAAATCATCAATTAATTTTTTTTCTATTTCATGCAACAATTCTGTGAATTGTAATGGCTCAGTGGTAAGAGGAAGACTGGACAGATGCAGTAAGTTCCTACTGGCAGGTCACTTGGCCCAGCTGTTATTGTGTTTAAAGAGTCATGACAGCATACTAGCTTGGGCACCAGTGATAGCTCCTTAGGCTCCACTGTGCGTTGAGTTAGTGCTATAGCAGGAGCACAAGGGGAACCCACAAAGCACACAGACATCAAAATTCACACTGGTCCTGGGCCCACCCTATTTACATAAGTAGAGTTCTCGCTGTAACAGCCCTCTAAACAAATGAATAATTTGCAAACTGAGTGTCACTGTCATAAATATAAAGGGAAGGGTAAATACCTTTAAATCCCTCCTGGCCAGAGGAAAAACCCTTTCACCTGTAAAGGGTTAAGAAGCTAAGACAGCCTCGCTGGCACCTGACCAAAATGACCAATGAGGAGACAAGATACTTTCAGAGCTTGAGGGGGGGGAACAAAGGGTTTTCTCTGTCTGTGTTGGCTTTTGCTGGGACCAGAGCAGGAATGCAGGTCAGAACTCCTGTAAAAAATCAGTAAGCAATCTGATTTGATATGCGTTAGATTCTGTTTTGTTTAAATGGCTGATAAAATAAGTTGTGCTGAATGGCATGTATATTCCTGTTTTTGTGTCTTTTTATAACTTAAGGTTTAGCCTAGAGGGATTCTCTATGTTTTGGATCTGATTACCCTGTAAGGTATTTACCATCCTGATTTTACAGAGGTGATTTCTTTTACTTTTTCTTTAGTTAAAATTCTTCTTTTAAGAACCTGATTGCTTTTCATTGTTCTTAAGATCCAAGGGTTTGGGTCTGTGTTCACCTATGCAAATTGGTGAGGATTTTTATCAAGCCTTCCCCAGGAAAGGGGGTGTAGGTCTTGGGGGGATTTTGGGGAGAAAGACGTTTCCAAGTGGGCTCTCTCACTGTTATATTTGTTAGACGCTTGGTGTTGGCAGCAATAAAGTCCAGGGACAAAAGGTAAAATAGTTTGTACCTTGGGGAAGTTTTAACCTAAGCTGGTAAAAATAAGCTTAGGGGGTCTTCATGCAGGTCCCCACATCTGTACCCTAGAGTTCAAAGTGGGGAAGGAACCTTGACAGTCACATTCACCAGTATGCCTTTTGGATGCTTCCCAGAGTCGTGCAAATGTAAAGTAGCTGTAAACCCTGTTTAGCTGCATGGTTTTGGTGTACCAATAAATCTGTCCTTAAGTGAATTATTTAAGGTTGATAGTGCATACCATATCATAAGATATATTGCATGGTACCATTCTCTTTGTGTTTCTTGTTTAGTGTTTGTGTGAAACTAATAGTTTTAAAAAAGACTAAGGAAATTCCCAGACAAAAAGCTATGTTACAACAGAGTTAAGAGTATACATCAGTTACTTCTGAGGACAGAACGTTTTATCCTGTAGTGATGACACAGTGGGGAAGAAATATGAAAAAAAAATCATGTCTTTAAAAATCAGTTAAATCTAACCATGAGCCCTAAACACTAAAATGCTTGAATCATAATTATATAGTTTTTGCATGACATCACTACAGGGTTGTTTTGGTATCTTAAGGTTGCTAAGGTTGTTTTAGTGTCTTAACTGTGCACTTCTTAACATGTTTTGACTTTTTAAATGTAACTCAAATTCCCAGAGTTTTAATGCTTGGTTTTGGGATCATTACAGCATTCCTGTAATTTTTATTTTTACCCTTAAATTACTGAGATATACTCTCAGCCGTAACTATTTTGGATGGGAGGAGCAGGGGAACACAGATTTATATAAAAGTTATATTTCTTGGATTTTAACCTTAACATTTAATATTACTAAAATACTAGTCACTAAACATTAAGTTTAGTCTTCTTGTAAGTGCATGTAAGAGTACCTAGAATTACACTGCAATTTTCCTTCCTGCATATCCTCTTCACCCCATTTGCCTAGTTTTCTGAATAATCACTCATGAAGTAGTAACTGGCATTTGTACTTGCCTAAGCTGTCTTCAGAATGTAAGAATTAGAGACACATGGCTTGTGAAATCTTAAGGGCACGTTTTCTTTCTCCAAAATTGCTAATATACCAAAAATCCTAGAGTTCCTCACAAAGAGCATATTCTGAATCCATTATTTTCATTCTGCTGCAAAACAATGATCATTTAACAGGCATCTTCTAGGCAAGTAGTAGTGGAGGTATAGGACTAATACCCTCAGTTGTTCTTACATATCAGGTTTGCAATTTGCCCTTGTAATTAAGTCACTGAAAGGAAAGTCACTTTTCTAATCCATTTACGTTTACTTACAGGTCTGCATTACATTTAGTGATTTTGGAAAAATGCAGAACATTTGCAACTTACTCGTTGAGAAACTGGGTAGTTCTGTTATCATCAGTCCACCACACTTCTACCATACAGCAGAGGCTATAGACACCCTTCGGTAAGTTCTCCCTCTCCTTTCCACAGAAATGCACAGCCTCAGGAAGCATTTACGTAATACATAATCCACACAGTTTAAAATGGGAAGCAATGATAGTCTCCCTGTTGTCCACTCCTGCCTTATACTTAAAGGAAAATTCAAGAAACTTTAAAAAGGTTATACAGTTTTTATAAATCCAGTTCCATTTAGCTTGCAAATAGTAAAGCTTAATCTTTCATGGAGGCTGCAGTGTCCTTGTATAAAGGCAGGAGGTAACAAGCTTTTCCATGATTTCAATAGGAAAAACAATCTGCTTAACATGCTCAGTCAGCATATCTGGTTTTTCAATGGGGTTAAATGAAAGCAAATTAATTTTAGTTTGGGATTTGTCCAGGAAGGTACAAGCATTTAACAGGCTCCATCCACTTCCCCAAGTGCTGCTGCTGTCCTCTTAGCTGCTGACAACAAACTTTGAAATACACCTTTCTAAAGAAACTACATTTCAGTTACTTTGAGGAGAAAGAAGAGCTTTCTAACATCAAAACATCCTCCTACAGCACCCCAGCCATAGAGGGAGAGTTAATTTGCCATGAAGGACATGAGACAAACATTCAGTGGTTGATGAAGGAAGGCGCCTGGGGAGATTAACTACATTTATCTGTTCCTCTTCCCCTAGTTTTTCAATTCACATTGAGATGAACTAAAAGAGCATTCAAAAGCCTGCTTTTCCCATTGATGCCACCAAAAAACCCTTCTCCATCTCATCTGAAGTTCACACTCTGCAGATGGCCATGGCTATGTCCAAGAAACAAGCTCAGTCATCCACTGCTTAAAATAATGTTGAAATTGCCACAGAGGTGTGGTTGTGAGCAATATGTATTCTAAATGTCCAGCCATGAGTTTGTTAGCACACTGGAGTTTTCCCTTACAAGCTACCTCTTTCACATGCTCCCCATTTTTAACCATCAAGCATATGAGTGGGGAAGTAGAAGTGCCTTGCATCTATGTAGTCACAAAAAAATAATGATTTGGCAGGAGTTTCTGTGCTAAAGTTGGATCAGTTAACCTACCTTGCTTTTTACCTTCCAGGCGTCAAGTATGTCTTGCTGCTGTTGGGAACACACGTCAAAAAGCTCAAGAGGTCTGTCGACTGTTTGGCCAGTCACTGGGAAAACCGCTGCTAATCAGAGAAGAGGAAATGAAAGAGTGGGAAGGCCAAATAGACAGTCACCCATCCAACTCCTCAGACACACTCACTGTGCAGCAGAGAATCCAAAGTGCCACTATTTATGCTTCTTCAAAAGTATTTGCTATTTTTGAGATAAAGGGAAGAGAAAAGAGGAAAAACAAGCTTATCTAGACGCATGTTAAAGGATTTTTCTTATTTGTCTCTGACAAATCGTGGAATAAATGTATGTACTTTAAAGTACAAATTTATTCAGTTTTTCAGACCTGCATCTTCCTCTATAAATGATCAGGAAAAACTAGTTATAACATTAGTTGTCCGACCCTTCCCCCTCAAAAAAATAAGACCAGATTGTTCTCAGAACTACCTGGAGACACACAAATAGTTTTATCATGGTTCTTCAAACAAATTGAAGGTGGACACCCCAAGCTACACTGAAATCATTGGCAGTTTCCATGAGAGGAGAGGAAGGCTCAAAGGCTTTATATATACTTCATGCCATCACTAGTAGTCCTCCCCTTTCTACACCCTTATTTACAGTGGGTAGAGTTGGGTAGGACACCAGTGCCTCCAGCACATTTATTTTCTCTCTTACACATGGAGAAAGACGGATTAAATACCACGTTCCTTAGATACTAATTTGTGTCCTAAGAGTTGGTCTAAACATACTAAGCAAAGATAAGTAGCTCAGTGTACACTCCTTCAAAAAAGTAGATATTCACATTACAGATTTACTTACTGCAAATATCCACAAGAACTTGTTAACATTTAGTCCCAGTTGGCCTCCATCTAGATCAGTGCCCTTCAACTAGTGTGAATATATTACTTTTGAAGAAACACTGCATGCTAGACTATTTAGCTTGCACAAAAAGCTAAAATATTTGATGTGCAGAATGTTTGGTGCTGCTAGTTGCAATGCAGCTATATTTAAAGCTTTCATCCCAAGCTAGCGAGAACTAAATTATTCATTGTCCTCAATATATTCTGATTATATATATAGACAGAGAGAAAATGTTTTACTTTAGTAACCTCAACATAATGCATCACTGAATATGTAATGGAACTGAAATAAGCCATTAACATACATATCAAAATAAGCCATTAACATATGTTTCATATAGAGTTCAATTTTATTTCTTTAATGAAATAATTTACAAATCAGTGTTACCCTGCTTTCCATTTGTCCCAGTTTAAAAAAGGAATGCACTGTGCAGTTGTATATCACATGCACAATTTACATATAATGTTAAATACTTCAGTCATGAGGGTAGATTTTTCTCAACCAGGCTTGCATAATGTATTTAGATCCATCGTATCTACTGAAGTAAGCTGTCAGATCAGGATTGTGTATCTGCAGAAAGAATTTTACAAATTGATTGGTAACACCAACATTACTGAAAAAGGCTTGGTGGTTTAACTGGACTGTAGCTATTAAGATTAATTTAAAAAAAACCTCTTGAATAGCTGTTAGTAATTGTTTCTGTGGCACAAACTCGTGAAGTTAAAACTGAGAAAAGCATGTACAAGTACACTGTATATATTTTAGTTTTTCAAGAGGTCAAAGCACTTTGACAAATAAGCCTCACTTCGGTCAGGTAGTTAGAGATAAGAAGACTAAGTGATTTGTCCAAATTGGACTAAGTCAGTGAAATCCAGAAATAAAGCCCATCTTTTGCAACATCCTATTCACAACAGACACCAAATTGATATTTTAGAAAATCCCAAGGTCAAACAACTGGACCCTAGAAAGATGACAGTAGGCAGCACCTAAATAAGATTATTAGCATTCTATACCGACTTAAGATATGTATACAAAAAGTATAGCAAAATCATTCCATTTGCACCTGTACAATTTATGTAACATTTGCATATCTGCTTTTCCTATGACCTTTCTCTACCATTGCAGAATGTTTACCTATTTAGTCTATACTGAGTAGGTCAAAAACCTTTTTGATTACAAAAGGGTAATAAACAATTTAAAATTAAAAAGGACTTCACTCTTACAAACAAAGATACTACCTCTAATCCTGTAATAATTGTTATCTCCTCCTCAGGAATGTAAACTGTAGTCTTGCCAAAGCTGTTGGCTTGGTTAATAAGAATTCGGTAGTGAGGAGTATCTCTTAGACCCTGTAAAAGAACAAATAAAAATAAGCCACAAGAAAGTATTCACATGAACATGTTACACTTCAGGAATATTTCCCTTAGACACAGACAAAGTCCTATCCCCCTAACATCTTAAATCAAAATTTAAGAAAAAATAAAGAGAGTCTTATAACAAGTTAGCCTTCTGGAAATACTCGACCTTTTACACAGGCAAACTGCTTTTATTTTGTGGCAAGTTTCATCACCATTAACTTCTGTTTATATATAGAATATATATATGTATATATATGTATAATGTTATAATGTATAACATTTATATAGTTATACATTTCTTATTAAAAACTATATGATAAAAAACCCTCCTTGGCATAGCTGAAGCACTTCTGAAAAGTCAAGATCACAAAGGACAAGATCCTCAGACTTTGATTAGTCCCGTCTGCGCCACCTCAATTGGAGAAAAGGGGACTTAGAACTTCTAGGGAAAGAGAAATTTCTTACCTGACAATTTTCTGTTACCAGCTTCTCTCCAAATTCATTACTAATGGGCTACTGCCCCCCACCTATGCAATTCGGAGACAGTCCAGTGCGGTTGTTGGAAGCTTCAGGATTAAGCTCCGTCCTTCAGCTTGGGCCACCAAAAGAGTTCTACAGTTGTAGCAACGCTCCAGCAAACCATTATTAGCATTAAGACAACTTGAGATAATGTATTAAATTAACCTTAAGACAAGTCTCACTTTAGAGAAAATTTTCAATTTATATTCTGGTCATTTACCAGACTGTTAGGGTGGATTGAATTTTAACAGAAAAATTATCTGGTAAGAAATTTCTCATTCTGTTGCACAGCTTTTCTCCTCATTTATTACTAATAAGACGCAGAGAACAGTGAATCACAGAAGTTGGGGGATGAAGGAAAGGATAACCAGAGTTAATTATAGTAGAACAACAGGCAGGAATGAAAATCCCTATCCCTCCCCCCATGTAGTGTTTTATAAACTAAGGAGTTATGTGGGAACCAGCCCAGTATCACGTAGCCATGTTCCTAGAGTGCTTGGTTGTAAGGTTCCAAATAAATGTCCTGGAAAAACTTTTGTCTAGCTGAGACCACTGGCACTTTGTGATTATTATATTTGTATTACAATAGCATCTAGAGATCCTGGCCCCATTGTGCTGGGCACTGCACAAACAGAGACAGTCCTTGCCCCAAAAGAGCTTTCTCAGAGATATGTTCTAGGAATTATTTTGGGGAAGTTCTGTGGTCTGTGTTATACAGGACATCAGATATGAGATGATCACAGTGGTCCTTTCTGGCCTTGGAATCTGTGAATCTATGTTTCCCCTTGCATCAGAAACATACATTTGACCAGATCAATGAATGAAATATCCTGTTTGAGTTCTATATGGCTACCAAATTGTAGCAGAGGTTAATGGAGAATCCATGATGAAAACTTCTATTTTGGTGCCCAGGCTGTTAACTGTAGGTGTTCCTGGTCTAAGTCCTTGCTTCAAGCGATCTAGTGTTTTCTGCAGATACAATGTGGGATTCTTAGATATCTAGCAAGCCAAAATGCCTTCTGGGCTAATGAAGGACTAGGAAGAGGACTTCAACTCTTCCTTTCCCTTCTTTCTATACCCTTTATATGGACCATCTTGAAAGGTAGCAGATTATTTTCTGTCCATTGACACAGAGAAACTTTGACCTCTGGTTACTCCTTGGTTTTGGAAAGGTTATAAACTCATGCCTCAGTCAAAAGCCAACCTCTAATGGCAGGTAAAAGGAGACTTCCTCTGTGAGTCCTGTAATTGAGGGGTTTCTTTCACCTTCTGCTGATACAGTTGATACTGGCCACTGTCAGACAGGACACTGGATTTGATGGAGCACTGGTTCAGTCCTATATAGCCATGTTTGTGGGGTGCTTTTTAAAAAAGAACAACAAAAAACACACACATCCTGATAGAGATGTCAAAACCAACTAAAAGAGATTTGGAAGTTTGTCTTCCAAGTATGAAAATGTCAACTGAAAATTGGTTTTTCAACATGGTTGTACCTACCCACAAAGGGACATTTGGGTGTGATCTGAGAATGACACCTAATTACACAATGCCATCCACAGCCTCAGAAACAACTCTGACTTCATAATCAAAAAGGCTGACAAAGGAGGTGCTGTCATCATCATGAATAGATCGGAATATGAACAAGAGCCTGCTAGGCATCTCTCCAACACCACTTTCTACAAGCCATTACCCTCTGATCCCACTGAGGGTTACCAAAAGAAACTACAGCATTTGCTCAAGAAACTCCCTGAAAAAGCACAAGAACAAATCTGCACAGACACACCCCTGGAACCCCGACCTGAGGTATTCTATCTGCTACCCAAGATCCATAAACCTGGAAATCCTGGATGCCCCATCATCTCAGGTATTGGCACCCTGACAGCAGGATTGTCTGGCTATGTAGACTCCCTCTTCAGGCCCTACGCTACCAGCACTCCCAGCTATCTTGAGACACCACTGACTTCCTGAGGAAACTTCAATCCATCGGTGATCTTCCTGATAACACCATCCTGGCTACTATGGATGTAGAAGCCCTCTACACAAACATTCCACACAAAGATGGACTACAAGCCGTCAAGAACACTATCCCCGATAATGTCACGGCTAACCTGGTGGCTGAACTTTGTGACTTTGTCCTTACCCATAACTATTTTACATTTGGGGACAATGTATACCTTCAGATCAGCGGCACTGCTATGGGTACCCGCATGGCCCCACAGTATGCCAACATTTTTATGGCTGACTTAGAACAACGCTTCCTCAGCTCTCATCCCCTAATGCCCCTACTCTACTTGCGCTACATGGATGACATCTTCATCATCTGGACCCATGGAAAAGAAGCCCTTGAGGAATTCCACCATGATTTCAACAATTTCCATCCCACCATCAACCTCAGCCTGGACCAGTCCACACAAGAGATCCACTTCCTGGACACTATGGTGCTAATAAGCGATGGTCACATAAACACCACCCTATACCGGAAACCTACTGACCGCTATACTTACCAACATGCCTCCAGCTTTCATCCAGACCACACCACACAATCCGTTGTCTACAGCCAAGCTCTACGATACAACCGCATTTGCTCCAACCCCTCAGACAGAGACAAACACCTACAAGATCTCTATCAAGCATTCTTACAACTACAATACCCACCTGCTGAAGTGAAGAAACAGTTTGACGGAGCCAGAAGAGTACCCAGAAGTCATCTACTACAGGACAGGCCCAACAAAGAAAATAACAGAACGCCACTAGCCATCACCTTCAGCCCCCAACTAAAACCTCTCCAATGCATCATCAAGGATCTACAACCTATCCTGAAGGACGACCCATCACTCTCACAGATCTTGGGAGACAGGCCAGTCCTTGCTTACAGACAGCCCCCCAACCTAAAGCAAATACTTACCAGCAACCACACACCACACAACAGAACCACTAACCCAGGAACCTCTCCTTGCAACAAAGCCCGTTGCCAAATGTGTCCACATATCTATTCAGGGGACACCATCATAGGGCCTAATCACATCAGCCACACTATCAGAGGCTCGTTCACCTGCACATCCACCAATGTGATATATGCCATCATGTGCCAGCAGTGCCCCTCTGCCATGTACATTGGTCAAACTGGACAGTCTCTACGTAAAAGAATAAATGGAGACAAATCAGATGTCAAGAATTATAACATTCAAAAACCAGTTGGAGAACACTTCAATCTCTCTGGTCACTCAATTACAGACCTAAAAGTTGCAATTCTTCAACAAAAAACCTTCAAAAACAGACTCCAACGAGAGACTGCTGAATTGGAATTAATTTGCAAAAGGTCCCCCCCCCCACTCTCCTGTTGGTAATAGCTCACCTTAAGTGATCACTTTCGTTACAGTGTGTATGGTAACACCCATTGTTTCATGTTCTCTGTGTATATAAATCTCCCCACTGTATTTTCCACTGAATGCATCCGATGAAGTTAGCTGTAGCTCACGAAAGCTTATGCTCAAATAAATTGGTTAGTCTCTAAGGTGCCACAAGTACTCCTTTTCTTTTTGCAAATGCAGACTAACACTGCTGCTACTCTGAAATCTGTCCTCAGAAGGAAATTTCTGCAGGTTCATTTTGAGAAACCCACTCAGGATTAAGCTGATGCATGGCACCAACAATCCTAGCCATTAGAAATAATTGGCTACTGATGACTCCTCAGGAAATGATTAATGCAATGAAGTTTTGGGTCTTCTCAAATCTTTACCATTATGGTAAAATTACAGCCACATCCATGTCTGTTTTCACTGTTGGGTGAGCAATTCTCTGCACTGGGAACAAAGTCTTTTCTTTATTTTGAAGAACTGGTAGCTATGAATCCTTTCCAGCAGCAGTCCAGTTATGAATGGGTCTATTTCTCTGGACAGAGTACTGATTGATTGGCATGTTTATGCCTGGGTATAGGTGCGTAACATGCAACCTGTTCCTTGCTGTGATTATTACCAGCCACTTAAGACTCTGGGTGTAGAAGGTGGGTCTGAAGGAAGAGTCTTTTGTACAAGAATTGTGAGCTTTTGCACACAAATACTCTTTTTCTCTTTGTCATGCTGAGGATTTTGTTGGTTTGGAGGAAAATCTATATAGGTTTCTTTGGGAGCTTCTGCTCCAGATTTTTCCTTCCAACAGGATAATGGTCCCTTCTTGGATACCCTTGATGTTGGCAGCAACCAAGAGATTGTTGTGCTGGCTTCGATAGTGAGGGTTGTGGCCTCTCTACAGTCTCAGCTACTAATTTATTTAAGGTTTCCTCCAATAGCGCCTCATCTGTAAGTCTGAATGCACAAAATATCAGTTTAGGATGAGTGATGGTTATTCTTGGGTGAAACATAGCTTTCTTATAACCACCAAGTTAGAATCCATTTCCAGGATGGGCAGGGATGGTGTCCCTATCCTCTGTTGCTAGAAGCTGGGAATGAGCAACAGGGGATGGATCACTTCATAACCTGTTCTGTTTATTCCCTCTAAAGCACCTGGCATTGGCCACTGCAGAAGACATGATACTGGGCTAGATGGACGTTTGGTTTGACCCATTATGACCATTCTTATGTTCTTAACCTGAAACATCTCACTCCAATCAAGGATCAGACCCCTAGATAAATCACTTGTTTGCCATTAAATTGGCTTTCCTTACTAAATATATGAAAAATGTTTGGTATATGTGAGGCTTTGAAATGACTGGGCAGTCTGTCATCACTCTTATGGTCTATGGGGTCTTTTGGAAAGAAGTACCCATCTGAAGTTTTCCCTGTGTCTTTCACTGGTTGCACTACTGCTGCACCAACCATAGGCTCCCAACATTTCTGAAATTTCTTTGTATTTATATTAATATTTTAGTTTAATATTTGGTTTAATTAGATGTCCTCATTTTGATCTTAAGATACTCTCAAAGGAGGCATCAATAGAAAACAACATCTCTAATAATGCTTAAAAGGGAAGCTATTTTATTAATATTAATGAGTTTGCAAGCCACTGCCATTCTGTTCTGAGAAAGTCTTGTAGGTTGCTTTGGGGGCTTGTTGCTGTTGGTGTTTGGTGTTGTTGTTGGGGCTTTTTTTGTTTGGTTTTGTTGTTTTGATGTTTTTTGTACATAATGTACGAGTGGTACTTCTTCCCCTGGCTGTTTACACGGCGAAGGTAGTATGCTATTCATCCTGGCATAGGGCCCACACAACAGAAGAGGAGTACTGGTAAACGTACTGGATTGTTGAAGTAACTGGCTGGATGTTCCTGGAAGCCTGAAAGGCTGCCAACCTGCTCCCACAGGCTTAATTAGCACCCAATTAAGTATTACAGGAGCAATTTAGTACCACACAGGGCTTTACTCAGTAAATCTGAATTATTTTGAACATGGGAAGGGATTTCTCATGTATGCCTCTGTAATCCCATGAATGTGCACCTTTGTGGGGTGTAGAATCCTCATGTGCTTGTGTTCTGGTTACAGACTGCCTGAAGTGCGTTTACAGCTTTAATGTGGAGCCACTTTGTGGAGCTGGGGAGGGGTGGAAAGAGAGATCCCTTTCCCTGCAGAGCAGGGGTTTATGGCTGATGATCAGAAGACACAACTCCCATTTCACTGCTGCCTCAAATCTCAGCCCCTTTCCCTGCCACAGTGAGGGTCCTTGGGCTGAAAGCCACTGGTACAATTTGCATTAACTGCATCCTGAGGCAGGGCTGCACAGGGCCAGGTTTCTCTGCACGGTGGAGGACAGACATGGAGCATGATACAAAGCACTCAGAGACTTGATGTAGGAGAAAAACACCAGCAAACACTCCCTCCAGGGGAGTAGGCAAAAGAAGGGTTAGACACCTGATTTTCACCCCACTTGTTCATTAAAAATACTAATTACTGCCTTGCAAAGGACACACTCACTTTTGCTTTTCTGAAACCTGAAGTCTTTGGGATTTGCAGAATTTACATGAGTGTCACAAGAATCCCCTGACTCTCAATGGGAGGAACGGGAAAGGGAAATATACAGAAGCTCTACTTCTTTCCCCAGGGAGCTGAGGCCCCATGTCAATGTGTGGGTGGGGCAGGGAGAAGACTACTTAGATCCTTTCAGGGGGTTTTCCCTTCCAACCCTAGGTCTGTTGTGGGACTTACTCCCTGAGCAAGCCCAATAGCTTTCTCCTCATCCTTAGACTCTCTCCCTGAAATCTCAGTAACTCTGGACTGGGCTTTTCTGTGTTGGAGTTGTGGCTCCTCAAGGCAGGGTGGGGACCCAACATACCAGTCCGCCTCTGAGCCCCATACCCTGGCAGTGTGAGGGTCAGCTAGCTGGGAAGAGGCAGGGCATAATTCACCCTCTGTAGAGTCTGTAAATGCTGCCTCACATAGGGAACCCCACTTAGAATTCAGACAGGTATTTGCAGGACAGCTGAGAAAGGGCAGAATCTGGCAGGGAGGCGCCGCCGCATTGGCAGATCCAGGTGGTTGAAACCACTACGCTGCTATTTACCTGGTCTTAGGTGAGAAGTAGGGGAGGAAGATTACAAGTTGCAACTGCACAAAAACAAAAGGCCAGACAAAATGGCTGGGAGAAACTGAACCACTAACTTTTTGCAACACTAAAGAGAGAAAATCTGGTGGTCTGAGCTGAAGGGTGGAGCTTAGTCCTGGAGTGTCCAGCAACAACACTGAACAGCTTCTGAATTCCACAGGTGGGATCATTAACCCATTAGTAAAAAATGGGAGAAGCTGTGCAACAAAAGCGTATGGTGGCACAACTTTGCATCACCAGCTCCCTCCTTCACAGGGTGTCAAAGGAAGGGACAAGGCAAGAACACACTATTTTCCTCCAGTGATTGTGGTTCCAGTTCTGGGCATACATTTAGAGCATCCAGCTCAGCTCCCAGCAAGCCCATGGTCAGGGAGGCAGAAAGGTGGGCTATTTGTATTATCTTAGTATCTAGGAATTCCAGTCATGAACCAGGGCCCCACTGCACTAGGCTGTCCTTGCCCCAAAGACCTTACAATCTAAGTATAAGATGAGACAATAGACAGGTACAGACCGGAAGTACAAGAAACAATGAGATGGTATTTGTCAACATGACAGGCTGCTGGTGCACTAATACACACCTAATCCTTGTCAAGTTTTTGTAGACATCATCGCAAAAGAGAGTTTTAAGGAGATTTTTAAGGATGATGATGAGATAGCTTTGTGGATGTCTACAGTGAGGTCCTCCCAAGTGTGAAGGGCAGCATAGAAGAAATCATGAAGGTGCATATTTGAAAGTTTAACACGTGGGAAATGGAGGATGGCATCATAGGTTGATTATAGGCAGGAGTCAACATCTTGATAGTGAATGAGAAATGATAGGTTATGAAGGACCTTAAAAATGAAGACAAGTAGCTATGTTTAATGCAACAGAAAAGGAGAGGCAGAGAAGGGATTAAGAGAGAGGTGATGTGGTCAAAAGGGCAGGCTAGGAGAACGATCTTTGCAGCAGCATTCTAAATGGATATAAGTGGGACAAGATTGCATTTGTCAAAGCTAGAGAAAAGGATGTTGCAGCACTGTGAAAGGAAAGGTCATATCTTAGATATGTTATGCAGAAAGAACCTGCAAGATTTAGATAGATGTAGCCTTGATGTGTGGACCTACAGAGGTCTGAGTCAGATGATGCCCAGTTTATGGGACTGGGTGACAAGCAGACTGGGGGTGTTTTCCATAATAATTGAGAAAGGGGAGGTAGTGGGGAGGATTGGAGGGTAAGATTGGCAGCTCTGTTTTAGCCATGTTGAGCTTGAGTTGACAGCTAGACATCCATAAAGGAGATGTCCGAGACAGGCAAAGTTTTAATTTGGACAGAAAGACAGGTCTGGAGTAGAGAGGTAGATCTGTGAGTCATCAGCACTAAAAAAATTTGTTTACAGATGACATTACCCAGAGATGAAGTGTAGAGGGAGAAGACCAGGGGACCAAGGTATCTGGAAAAAGAGAGCCCTGTAGATCCCACTCCCTCCCAAAAGTTGGAAGGAGGATGAGGATACTGAAAAAGTGATCAGAGAAACAAAAGGAGAATGAGAGTTACAGAAACCAGGGGAGGACAAGGTTTCAAGATAAACAGTACGGCTTACCATGTTGAAAGCAGCTGACAGGCCAAGGAGAATGAGGAAGGAGTACTCATTCCTAGCCAAAGCTCAGAAGAGGCCGTAAAAGACTTTGTGTGAGTGATTTCTGTGGAGTGCCAGAGGCAGAAGCCAGATTGGAGAGGGTCTAAGATAGACTTGGAAGATAGGAACTCCAGACAGTGCATTCAGTGATCTTAGAAATGAAAGGTAGAAGGGGAATTGGCAGTAGTAGGCCTAGGTGTGTGTTTTCGGAGTGTGCGAGACTTGTGCATGCTTGTATTGTGAGAAGAAAGAGACAGAGGAAAGTAGAGCTTAAGGAGAAAAGTAAGGATGGAAATGAGAGTGGGTATGAGAGAGATCAGGAAATGAGATGGGGCAAGTGGAGGAGAGCAGCTGAGAAATGTCTGCATCTGTGACGGGGAGATGGAGCAGAAGGTTGTAGGAGGGGAAGGGGAAAGAGAAGGCAAGTCACATAATATTTTCAGTTTTCTCTTGGAGGAAAACTGGCATGATACTGTGTGGAAAGAGCCATGGAAGGTATAAGGAGCATGGCAAATTGACCGCTGGGATTACAGACATGGGATTCAATTAAGTTGGAGAAGTAGAGTTGTTTAGCATGGAAGAACTGAAGGAGGAGAGAATAAATTTGTTGGGGAGAAAGTCTGGTCACAGGATTTGAGCCAGAGATGCTCCACATAAGAGAGCAGAGGCAGAGGAAGTGAATGTTGAGGGTGACCCATAGCTGGGAGTTGGCAGGGTGGACCTTGTGCTGGAAGAGAGGGGCAAAAGAGTTGAGGATAAAGAAGAATGAAGCATGAAGAAAATCAACAACGAAATCAATGGAAGAAAGGGAAGAGACCAGAATGAATCAACACTGATGGACTGGAAGTCATGGAAAGGCTGAGTGACAAGGCGAGGGGTAGGGACTGCTGGGAAATATTGAAAGAGACCCAAGTGATAGTTGGAGAGAGAGCAGTGCTTTGTGAAGACCAAGTCAAGTGAATTACCCTTTTGATGAGCAGGAGAGTCGAACCAGGGCTGCAGATCAAATGAAAAGATGAGGGCAAGAAGACATGTGGCTAGGGGTCAAATGGTCGTCAGCATGGAAGTTGATATCACTGAGGATGAGTGTGGATGACTGTGGAGAGAGGAAGAGCAAGTGACAAGTGTCGCAAGCAGAAAGGAAGGCTGAGGAGGAGGAGTTGGGGGAACTGTAGATAACAGCAGCATGGAAGGAGAGAAGAGTTGGATGCTGTGCTTTCAAAAGCGGGAAGGGGGAGAGGTTAGAAATGGCAGGAAAGGGAGGGGAAAAGCCCAATAGCACCACCATGGTCTGATCTAGGTGGGGAGTATGACAGGAGAGATCTCCATAAGAGAGGGCAGCTGCAGAGGCAGTGTCAGATGAAGGGATCCAGATCTCTGCAAGAGCCAAGAACTGGAGGGAGTCAGATACAAAGAACTAGAGATGGAGTGGGTGTTCCAGAGACCGCAAGAAAAAGTGGAAGGAGGGGGTGGTGTGAGGTTAAGAATAGTGGCACGAAAAGGGCAGAGCTGACGGCAGAGGTGGAGAAGGTGGGATGGAAGGGAGGGTTAGGACTGGGGCAAATGTTACCCAGAGGTAAGGAGGATGTGGGACTTAGATTGGGGGTGGGGGTGGAAAGAGAGGAACAAGTAGAAATGGTAGGAACTGTAAAGGGTTAAGGGTAACCAGAAAGAGGATATGGAACCTGAGGAGGAAAGGAGGATGACAGATACTGTGAGGCAGAAGAGGGGTATGGTGAAAGCCAGGGTCAGTGGCAGGTGGACAAGATTGCAATTAAAATAAAAATAGGTCTGAAAGTATGCTCTCTGCCTGGTGCCAAGTCCCTGCTCTCTGGGCAAAGTGTTATGGGCAAAGCTTCCCAATTACAGTGCTCTTTGGTGTAAAATCATCTTTGTCTCCCTGCCACCTGAGCTTTGCAGAATGTGAGCTCAGTGCAGCTGAACATCAAACTCACAGATTACATAGCGTTGCACTATTATAGCAACACTATCAACTTAAATTTGACCTCCCATTTCAGAATATACCAGAAGACTCAGGCTGTATAAAAATTTGAATAGAAATGTTTCACAATATTAAGAATTCCAACAATTTTGAAACCCAAACAGTGTAGCACTTAAAATGAAACTGAATAAACACATTTATCTATGCTTGGACAATGAAGACAGTTTCAGAGTAGCTGTAAGCAGCGATAGGTAAACTGGATTGGAAAAATTCTCAGACAGTTCTAATAATCAGTTACACAAGGAAATAGGTCACAACATGTTAAGTTTACACTGTTCCTTTAAATACACTCCTGTGTATTAAAGAAAGGAATTGTAATTCATTAGTGTGTCATGACATCCCTAACCGTTGAAGTTTAAACAATCAATACTGCTGCAGCATGCTCTGCTCTGGTGGCAGACAAAGAAGAGCAGAGGGACTGATATCATCTGTGCAGATCATGGAAACAAGATTCAGTGTATCAAATTTCGAATAAATGTGTGAATTATGTGGTTGAGCTATATTTCCACTTCTGCAATCAGAGTTCCATAATTCCATTATTTATTTTTGTGGTCTCGGTAAGTAAGTTTAAAATATACCAAATCTCCCAAAAGACTCATTTATTCCTCTTTTTGTTGTGAAATACCAGGTTAAAAGTGAAAGCTAGAAAATAGTCAGAATTTTTCTGAACATCAGCATCTTAAAGAATTCTGAGCAACCCTATTTCCTCATGTTCCACAGGTACAGACTGCCCAGATAAGTCTAGGCTGATATAAGTAAGGTTTTCATCACCAGAAAAGTTTAGCTACTTGTTTGGCTATGACACTCAAGACAGCCAGCCTTATCCCATATCAAGAGTTGTGGTGCTTTCCTAAAAAAGCTAGCAAGTAATTCTGTTCTTGTCTTCTACTCCCTTTTCCACACCCAGGACCACTTTTTCCCTTACCCCCAACCTCAAACAAAAAGCAGCACAGAACCAGCATGTCTCTGCACCACAGTGTACTGCTGGAGGAAGTTAGACATAACAAATATGGTTATTAACAACACAAAACTATTTCTATTTAACATTTGACTGTTTCACAGCCTGAAAACCACTGCTCTTGTCAAAAGAGTGAGGTATGTCCAAAGATACAATATTCTGGGTGTTCTCCCTTCTTCCTGCACCCCTCTTTTTTTTTTTTTTGATAAAGTGATCCATTACAAAAACAAACTTTGTGCCAGTTCTAGAAGAAGTGTCAAACATCCTTGTGATGTTGTGACCTCTAGTACTAATATTCAGATCCATACTCAGATGTGTGAATTTTCAGTAGTTTTCTTTTACCTCATTTTAAATCCCTTGGTTTTTACTGAAGTCAACTGTTATACATTCTTAGTTACTCTTTCACAGTTATGCTGTTTGATTTAAAAATATTCCCCCCCACACACACTTTAAAAAAAAAGTTAATTAGAAAAGCATCAACAAATTACTAGGGTTTAAAACTGACAAGTAACAACTGTCTCTTACATAATGGTTTTCATCAGTAGATCTCAAAGTGCTTTACGAAGGACATTGATATATGGAAACTGAGGCACAGAGTAACTGGCCCAGGTTAGTAATAGCAGACATAGAACTAGAACTCAGGTCCTCGTCAAGTACTTGATCCTCCAGGCCATATTACTTGTACTAGGAAAGCAGATTTATGTAGCTTGAGTATATAACATCAAGATTACGTCATTACTCTTAATGAAAAAAAAAAAAGAGTAGTTATGGAATCAAAGAACCATAGGGTTTAGAAGGGACTACAAGGGTCAACTAGTTTAACTCCCTGCCAAGATGCAGGATTTATTGGATCTAAATCATCCAAGACAGATGGCTATCCAGCCCCCTTTTGAAAATCTCCAGTGAAGGAGCTTTCACAACCTCCCGAGGCAGTCTGTTCCATTGTCCCACTGTTCCTACAGTTAGGAAGTTTTTCCTGAGATTTAATCTAAATCTGCTATGCTGTAGTTTGAACCCATTGCCTCTTGTCCTGCCCTCTGTGGCAAGAGAGAACAACTTTTCTCCATCTTTTTTATGGCACCCTTTCAAGTATCTGAAGACTACTATCATGTCCGTCCCCCCCCAGTCGCCTCTTTTCCAAATTAAACATACCTAGTTCCTTCAGCCTTTGCTTGTATGGCTTGCATTCCATCCATCTGATCATCTTTGTTGCTTGCCTCTGGATTCTTTCCAGTTTCTCACATCCTTTCTATACATTGATGACCTACTCCAGCTGAGGCCTAACCAACGCCTAGTAGAGCAGTACTATCCCCTCTCATGACTTGCATGCTATGCCTCTGCTAATGCAACCTAAAATTGCATTATTATTTTTTTGTAACAGCATCAAGTTACTGACTCATGTTGAGGTTGTGATCCATCGCAACTCCCAGATCCTTCTCAGCAGTGCTGCTGCCAAGCCAGTTATCCCATTCTGTATTTGTGCATTTGTTTTTTCTTCCCTAAGTGTAGCATCTTACATTTCTTTTTATTGAATTTCATTTAGTCATCTATTGCCCAGTTCTCCATTTTATCAATATCCCTGTGAATTTTAGCTCTATCCTCCGAAGTGTTTGCAACTCCCCCGCTCCCAGCTTTGTGTCATCCGAAAATCTGATCAGTAAGCTTTCTGCTCCTAAATCCAGGTCATTAATAAAGATGTTAAACACCAGACCCAGAACAGATCCCCGTAGAACCCCACTTGAGATGTCCCTCCAATCTGACATCGTTCCATTAATAGTTATTATTTATTTGAGGTTGTTTAACCAATTACCTGTCCACTTAATGGTAGTTTGCCAAGTTATGCAGGCTTCCTTCCTCTAACAATTCAAACAAAATCAGGGAGAAATATGTGTTTCAAAACAGTCAGATATTGGGGAAGCATACGTTTGTTATGTTATGCTCTCTAAGCAGCTTTTAAAATTCGATTAATTCTATTGGAAAATACTGATGTTTGACCCCAGTGGGTTTGCCATCTAATCTGTAGGGATTTTACAGTGGATTTTCCTTTTCTATTTCATGATGGCATCAGCTGCTTTTCTGTTTCCCTTTCGTTTGCTATTTAGACATTACTCTGGCACTAGACCAATAGCTATCTAGGAAGTTCCTAAACATTCTACACATCTGATAGTAGGAACTACTAAAAGTTAGTCAGCCAGAATCCACTGTCTCAGACAACCATCTGCAATGGCTTTAGTCTTCCCTGACTTGCATAAATGTCCTAACCAGTGTTCATTTCTAGAATCTTGCTTAGAGACACTTTCATGGAGGTAGAAAGTTACAGTATATAAAGAAGGGAGACTAGGAACAAGTTATCTGAATTATGTTGTATAAATATTAATAAAGCAAGAGTTAAATACTTTCAGACCTGTTTCTCTGGAGGATATTTGTGCTGCAGCCATTCTTCTGGAGCTCTAGCTTTTATGTCCCAGCCAACAATGACTCCTAAATAGCCAAGTCTTCTGTGTACTATCACCTGTCCCACATTAAACTGAACAGATTCTGGCTTTGGACTGTGAATGTGAGTTGATTCTAGTAAAACAAGAAAACAGGTTTAGCAAGGAAAAAGTGTTTGATCAAGTACAATGGCAAACATTTAACAGACTTTACTCTGTTGGACATCCAGTGACAAGTAAACAGATTGGGCAATTAGATTACTTAATAAAGTAAAACTGGGAGTATGAAGGCTAACAGTCTTTAGTACAAACAGATAGTTTGCTATTAAAACCAAACAGCATTTGTTCAGGATGTTATAATAATATTTCATAAAGCAGCATTCATTGAGGAAAATATTTTGGTACATGTATTCATTTGTATTTTATGTTGTATCCTGGAATTAAATTAGTGGGATTTGGGAAATCATTAAGACAAAATAAATATGTTGACAACTATTTGTTTTCTTCAATCTTAATTGATGCAATATTTTACAGTACTACAGAGAACTGGCTTTGACTCCATAGTTGAGGCTATATGAGTTTATCTATTTTGTGTTTAATTGTGACCCTTTACTTTTTAACTGAAGACAAACAAAGCTTCTTTCTGCCTGAAATTTTTTCCATTCAGTCTCTGTTCAGAGGTGATTTTTGAAGAAAATGAGAGCTATTTGAGTTTGAAGACTGATAAAATGGTACCTTTTCTCTGTTTTATTTCAGTCATAAATCAAACAACTATGAGAATATCAATGTTTTATACACCAGTGCTCCCTGAACAAGCACATATGAACATTTTTAGCGAAGTGTGAGAGATGGCCTCTGCTTGTTTGTCATTTAGGAGATAAGTCTAGCAACGCATACATTCACACTCTGAAACGGTCCAAAATAAAGTTCAAAAGGATTGAAGACTTCAGTCTTTTTTAGAAATGAAGTTTCCCCAGTACCTGCAAAATAAGCATGGATTTCTTCTTCATCTTCAACACCTTGAGTTCTCTTTTCTCCATAGTACCAATTCCTAAAACAATGAGTGTGATCAAACAAGTTTGTTAATGTCTGAATATTTGGATTGGATTTATAATAAATCAGAAAACTGGATAAAGAGTTGTTTGAATAAGGTGATGTTGCAAAATGGTTGATACAAAATTCAATGCAGTTTGAAGCAAAGAATGACAGTCTTATTGGACATTGCAAAAGACAAAGTGATTTGTTCAAAGAGGGCAGGAGAGTATAAATATTATGCATTGGAAATCCACCGTGGACATTGTAATTCCACAGTTGCGTGTTAGATCTCCCCAAACAAAGAAGACAAACAGGTATTCTATAGATGAGACGATATGATACAGAATTCCTTTGGAGTCACACTGTGGTGCATATTGTAAATTGTATGTGGAAACATTTGAAGACATGTTGGTATGTGTATTACGAGTAGTTGCCATACCCAATGTTGTACTTTTGCAAATTAAGATGCAAGCTATCTAAAAATGCCAAATGGAGTTAAACCATTTTCTAGTCTAATAGTTCTCATACTCTAAGTAAACAAGTACAAAAACTTTAAATCCTTAAAATTAAATGTGCTAAAACAAGAGCCCTTTGCCCCTTTTAAATATTTGAACAAAGTTCACCTTGACCAACACTAAGTTGAATGCCAAGTTACAGCTCAAAACAAAGATATACTGCTGAGTTGTAAGAGTTTATATAAATACAATAGGACAAGTTTTTGAACATACAAAGCATGGTTTAAGGAACAATCAAAAACTGAATTCAATTAAAGCCCAGCTTTAGGGCTACAATGAATGCAACTTCCCTTTTATGCTAGATCTTAGTCATAGCCCAAGAAGGGTTGTGGCTTTCATTTAAATTTTAAAAAAAGAAGAGCTGGCTCCTTTTACTGTTGCTGCTGTCTGTTGAAAGGGAGAAGGACTAGGAAGTCAAAGACGTACTGCAATGCACACTTTGGTGGGGGCACAGCGAGGTGGTTCCAATCTCTCTGCTGCCCTTCTCAGTGGTGTTGATAGGAGTGCTCTATAAGCTAATGGCATCTTGTATGCAGCTTTTAACAAGTGGTGACAACAGATACCCCTTGGGATCTTTTCCCATGTATGTCAGTCAGCTCTCTGTCAATACCAAGTGCTTATCATTAGTTACAGCATCTCCTCTTCATATATCATTGCTAAGCCCCTCCCAGATCCTGCTTTGACAGGAAGTAGGAGCAAGTTCTACCAGATTCCTAGAAAATCTCCATCTGGATGAACTCTGTAAGGGCTTAAGGTTGGCAAACACTTTCTATTGCAAACACTGAAGTGTAAGTGTTCTGATCTGCTTGATGAAATTGCATCCAGCATGGAAGGTTTGGGAAGTCCAGAAGTATTAGTTTTTAAAATACTAAGAACTGATCATTAAAAAAGGTATTAAGAAGAGAAAGCCATTTTATGGGGGCTAAATAATCCTCAGTGTGGTCCTTTTGAGACCGTGGGAGACCCTAGATATAGGGTGTCTGGAATCCTATACAAGGTCATAGAAGGTTGGTGAGAAGTGGGGTCTTTGTGGACGTTTGCAGGCTGTGCAAAGAGCTCATTCCTCCTTAGACTGTTTCCTCTAGAAGCCTCCAGGGAGGCAAAGCTCTAATTCTGTGAATTTTCTAGGCCTCATGGGGTCTAAGTAGTGGTTTTTAGAACTCTGCGTAGACCCTTTATAAAGCCTTCATCAAAATACACGAGTTAAGAACTCTGCAGGGTTCCAAACAAACATGGACACCAGTTGTAATAACTAAATTCCCACAGTGCTCCCAAACTAATGAAAGGCACCAATCTTCACCAAGACATAAAAATGAACTTTTTAGGCCAAGTCACTTTGAAATTATGATCCAGAAAAGATTATACAATATCCAAGCAGCAAGTTTCCCCCATTTTTACCCTTATATTGCCCAGGTGCTTTGCCTGATTTACCATCAAACCACACAGAAATATTATACCCAGCATAAGATGGCCATGCACATTGAATTTTAGATGGATCCAACCTGATCCTGCAAATATTTATGCACGTGTTTAACTTCATGAACATGGGTAATCCCACTGGCTTCACTCAGAGAGATTTAAATTAGAAGATTAATACAAACATTAAATTGATGTTGTGATTTATCTTCAGGCAACCCCAAGTTGAATGCTCAAACAAAGTAAGCGCATAAAGGTCTTTATAAACAGAAATTATACCCCAAGACTGTCCTTCTCAAAAGGAGGACATTTTCCATGGCAGGTTTTTTCCTTGTCACTCTTATTTCACTTCTATAGCACACTCTTCAGTTAAAACAGGCCAAGAGATAGGGAAGCTGGAGTTAATGGTAGGATCAATGTAAAACTTACTACAGCATAAATATGTAATGTCCTACCTTGTCTTTGGTATCCACAGCTTTAGATGATCTGTCCATGCATCCAGACTCAAGTAGGACTTTATAAAACTGTTCCAATAGCCAATTATCCTTTAGTAATAAAGATGGTTGTCACATGGTGTGAACATTTGATAGTATACTGTATAAAATTGCTTTACATAAAATTAACATACAAAAATTGCTTTTATATAATTAAAGAGAAGTCACTGACGGAACATTTATTTGATAAAGACTCTGTTCTCTAGACACATTGAGAAATAAGCAGATAATTTTTCAATGGTCCAATGGTCCAAATGGTTTCAATGGTCCAAAAACAACCTAATTTTTGAAGATGTCCATTTTTATGCCAAGATGCTTCCTGCCTTTACTCAGACTGTAGGAAATGGCCATCGGTGGTTCATCCTGTCCAGAGTCCTCTCTTCGAGAGTGGCCAGCACCAGATACTTCAGAGGAAGGCAAAGAAATAACAAAATGGACAATTATGGAATAAGTTTCCTGTACACAGTTTCTTCTAAATCTCACAGTTAGTGGTTTTCTCATGCAATAAAATATGAGGGTGTGTTCTGTTCTCTTATCAATTTAAGACAGGGTATTCTCATTCATATAGACAGTCTAATCTGTTCAATCCAACTAGGTTTTTGGCTTCAGTGATGTTTTGCAACAATATCATAGCCAATGTAATAGTAGGATTTTAATATTTGAATTGCAAACAGGTTATGTATCAGTTGTACAGATCTCTCTCTCTATGCTGCTCACCTTTAAAACATCAGTGGATACACAGATACCTGAAATTAGCATAGCCTGCTCTTTATATTTAGGATGAAAATATTTGTGGTGACTGTTGGTAAACAACAACTTTTTAAAATCAGTAATATTGTACTAGTCACTATGTATTTAATTCTTTTCTGATTGCTGTTCTAAGTCATTATTCACACTCTACTACTTTGATTTTTATTGCTAAGGCCAATGCACTAAATCATACTCCAAAAGGAAATACATTTGAATAGTAAGTTTCAACAAGACAAGGGAAAGTCAAAAATAATGTTATTGATCAAGCATTTCATTCGCACCTTTCAAAGAGATTAAACCCATGGTAGCATTTATTGGAATCTCCAGAAGGGCAGAAGCATATTGAGATATGGCCATGCTAACCATACACACAAGGTTTTATACGGAGAAAAACAAAGGCTATTATTCAAATGCCGTAGGGCATCAAACTGCTTAATAAATTCATATTAAAACACAAAAATGTATGAGATATGATCTGAATGGATTCTTCTAAGGATGGCAGGAGGGCATCCCCACCCCAAGCCTTGGGGACAAAAGTGTAATAAGGGAGGAGGGAGAGAGAAATCTTGCTTTGAATATATTAATGTAGTGGGGAGGAAAAGTGTTACAACCTTTGTGTCACTTGGAGGCGCTGAGCAGAGTCTGTTCCATACCACTGGGATATGAAATACTGTGCAGGAAGTGCAGATAGCAGCATACAAATCTGCAGAACTGTAGCTGTATTAATCTGAGGCATTCCAACAGTGAAACCTCTTCAGAGATGCTTCCCCTCTCTGTCATCAGCAAAGTTAAAAAAATAAATAAATACAAATCAGTGATTGCTAACATCACAGTTTAAATTCCATTCACTAGGTACTGTTGAGTCACAAGATATTTCACACCTTGGACTACACTTCAATTACACTCAAAGATTGTTACCTGCATGAGGTGGTGGCTCACAATGAAGTTTATTAATAAGGTGATCTAGCCTCACCACCCCATGTAAATAAAAATCTAGTGAAGGGTCACATATGAATATATTCCTTTCCTCCTTTTGAGGGTGGGGTTTGAGATGAGAGAACAGCAGGTTATGTCCTCTCATCCACTCTAGACTTGAAACAAGAACCTGATCTACAATACCAACTAAGACAGAAATATACACTCTGCTTCCTGTACCACTGTCCAGGTTCCTTCCTCACTCTGAACTCTAGGGTACAGATGTGGGGACCTGCATGAAAGACCCCCTACGCTTATTCTTACTAGCTTAGGTTAAAAACTTCCCCATGGTACAAACTTTGCCTTGTCCTTGAACAGTATGCTGCCACCACCAAGCGTTTTAAACAAAGAATGGGGAAAGAGACCACTTGGAGACATCGTCCCCCAAAATATCCCCCCAAGCCCTACACCCCCTTTCCTGGGGAAGGCTTGATAATAATCCTCACGATTTGGTACAGGTGAACACAGACCCAAACCCTTGGATCTTAAGAACAATGAAAAAGCAATCAGGTTCTTAAAAGAAGAATTTGAATTGAAGAAAAAAAAAGTACAAGAATCACCTCTGTAAAATCAGGATGGTAAATACCTTACGGGGTAATCAGATTCAAAACACAGAGAATCCCTCTAGGCAAAACCTTAAATTACAAAAAGACACAAAAACAGGAATATACCTTCCCTCCAGCACAGCTTATTTTACCAGCCATTAAACAAAAGAAAATCTAACAGATTTTCCATCTAGATTACTTACTAATTTAACAGGAGTTGGAAGGCTTGCATTTCTGATCTGTTCCCGGCAAAAGCATCACACAGACAGACCAAACCCTTTGTTCCCCCCCACTCCAGATTTGAAAGTATCTTGTCCCCTCATTGGTCATTTTGGGTCAGGTGCCAGCGAGGTTACCTTAGCTTCTTAACTCTTTACAGGTGAAAGGGTCTTGCCTGTGGCCAGGAGGGATTTTATAGCACTGTATACAAAAAGGTGGTTACCCTTCCCTTTATATTTATGACAACCACCTTAAAGATAATTAAATGAATTTAATGTTTGAGAGATGTGCTGCATGGACAGCCCTGAAAAACAGTCCTGTTTAGACACAACATTTCCGGCATGAACAGTGGAACTCTGGTCTTTAGTATTGCACCCCACCCGCCTGCCTTAATGGTTTGCTGGAGAGGCCTTCTTTTAGGATGATATTGGAGTGTACTCACATGGTAACTTGCCAAGATGGACATACAAGAATGCCAACTGCGAGGGTGTTTTTGTCATGGTCATATCAGTGCATTACACAGAGGACTGATTTCAGAGTAACAGCTGTGTTAGTCTGTCTTCGCAAAAAGAAAAGGAGTACTTGTGGCACCTTAGAGACTAACCAATTTATTTGAGCATGAGCTTTCGTGAGCTACAGCTCACTTCATCGGATGCATACTGTGGAAACTGCAGAAGACATTATATACACACAGAGACCATGAAACAATACCTCCTCCCACCCCACTGTCCTGCTGGTAATAGCTTATCTAAAGTGATCATCAAGTTGGGCCATTTCCAGCACAAATCCAGGTTTTCTCACCCTCCCGCCCCCCCCCCCCCCAAACTCACTCTCCTGCTGGTAATAGCCCATCCAAAGTGACCACTCTCTTCACAATGTGTGTGATAATCAAGGTGGGCCATTTCCTGCACAAATCCAGGTTCTCTCACTCCCTCACCCCCCTCCAAAAACCACACACACAAACTCACTCTCCTGCTGGTAATAGCTTATCCAAAGTGACCACTTTCCCTATAATGTGCATGATAATCAAGGTGGGCCATTTCCAGCACAAATCCAGGTTATGGCCCACCTTGATTATCATGCACATTATAGGGAAAGTGGTCACTTTGGATAAGCTATTACCAGCAGGAGAGTGAGTTTGTGTGTGTGGTTTTTGGAGGGGGGTGAGGGAGTGAGAGAACCTGGATTTGTGCAGGAAATGGCCCACCTTGATTATCACACACATTGTGAAGAGAGTGGTCACTTTGGATGGGCTATTACCAGCAGGAGAGTGAGTTTGGGGGGGGGGGGGGCGGGAGGGTGAGAAAACCTGGATTTGTGCTGGAAATGGCCCAACTTGATGATCACTTTAGATAAGCTATTACCAGCAGGACAGTGGGGTGGGAGGAGGTATTGTTTCATGATCTCTGTGTGTATATAATGTCTTCTGCAGTTTCCACGGTATGCATCCGATGAAGTGAGCTGTAGCTCACGAAAGCTCATGCTCAAATAAATTGGTTAGTCTCTAAGGTGCCATAAGTACTCCTTTTCTTTTTACAGAGGACTGACACCATCAATTCATTTCAGAGACATTCCCCCTCCCTCTCCACAAATGCACTTTTGCTTTTGTAGGAAAAACCGTAAGTCACTGACGGGAACATTTTTTCCCTAAAGACTCTGTACTTTATATATGGAGAATTAGTTTTTGGATGCTACCAGGCTGAGATGGATTTCACCTGGCAACCAACAAGCACCTGAACTATGTTTAAACATCTATCACAATTTTCTATATCAGAACTAGAACTTCCTTGCTGAGATTTTGGAAAGATTGCCTGAAAGATACCCAGTGTACAGGTTTACTTCTCCTACAGCTTCTTCCCTTCATTTAAGCATCCCTTCTTCCCCTCAAGAGAGTCACTTTGATAACATGTACTCCATTTCTGTTTTATTATTCTCCTGTTCTGACTCTTCATGCCATACTGCCAGGCAAGTTATTATTTCTGTTGCTCCTATTTCAGTTCACACTATTTAAAGTGTCCTTTTATTAAATATTTTAGCACTCATTTACTCTACTATGTTAACAATTTGGGAAGTTAGAATTGTGGAAATACTTGGCAAAAGACTGATTTATGACCCAAAAGATAAAAAGCTGGAATTTCTGAAAATGTTTGTGGAGGGCTGGGGAACTCAACAGAAGCCCTGCTAGCTGCACTGCTTTGTGCACTAGCCTGCGGAAAAGACTCCGTTTCAGATATAAAATTGTTCACAAGTGAAACAGGAAGAACAGTCTCAGCCTAGTTCCCAGCAGATGTTCATACATCTTACCAGTAACCACAAAATTTGCCTGATTCATTAAATATAGGCCAGCCTCTACTGTACAGAGGGCTAGGACCGTTAATTATGGGGATGTGATCATGTACAACAACTCAGGGTTATACCTGTATGAAAAGGAAATGGCTGCACTGATTCTTGAAGAAAATCAATTACACAGACAATCCACAGATGAAAAATGGAATGGAAACACATGCAGCTTGGTTAATAAGACTCTCTCACTCTCTCTTTTTTTAGTTTACCAAAGACATATTTTACATATAAAAGATAGATTTGTTTAATTCGACAGCAAAAGCCTTTAACATGCCAGTCAGATAGTTTGAGCCCCAAATGTAGGTAATTTAAAAGACAGTAATAATCCACAAAACCTAACTGGATCCCCCCCCCGATTTAAAGAGCTATTGAGGTTTTTAAAGGCTAACCCAGTATCCTCCTGCGGCGATTGCGACTCAAACGCTGCATTGTGCTAAGGCGTGGAGCCAGACTAGTACTTTACCTTGGACAAAAAGAAAAACAAAAGAGCACAAACGTCGAAAAGTATGCAGTCAAAAAAGGGAGCACATAGACGTCGAAAAGAGTAAATAGTTTAATTCTAGGGAAAAGATTTGTAGCCAAAACGATTCGGGAATAAAATCTTCCTTCCAAATCCCCACATTTAGAGTGGCGAGGGAAAGAGTCCCTCCCTGTTAACAAAGATGAGTTCAAACCCCGAAAAATTATGGGGATGCTGCAGACCATCTGTAAATTCCCTGCTCGGAGATGCTGGGTGTTGCTTAAACTACTATCCACGTGCCACTGGGACCCCGCTCCAAAATCTCAGCCAGCTGGCGGCCTCGGAGACTAACTAGAGAGAGGTCGACCCGCTAACCGGCTAACTGAGAGGCGCCGATAGCTGGAGCGCGCTGGCCCCAAAGGGAGACGCAGCTAATCCCGCCGGACAACTTCGGCTCCAGGCATCCAGCGCCACCTGCGCGCCATTCACACCCAGCCCACCCCGCGCTCGCGGCCCAGATGCCCGGGGGGAGGCAGCGTGACACGTCGCCCGGCCAGAGGCTCCTCCACCCCTTTGTCTCCCCAGCCCGCGCCGCCAGAGCTAGCCGGGACCCTGCCCCCAGGGGAGCAGAAAGCGCCTCCCCCTCCCCGGAGCACGCGCGTCCCAGCCGGCCACTCCCGCCTCGCTGGCTCCGGGCGCCCCGGCACCTTCCCGGCCAACAGGTGCCGGAGCCCCTCGGCAGCGCCCCCCGGCAGCCCCTCTCCGCAGCAGGGGCGTGTGGGGGACAGACCTGGCCACTGGCTCCGCCCTGGAGGCGCCCCCACTGACGGCCGCTATCGTGGCACAAACAGCCTGTGCCGGGAGCCCCGGCTCCCTGGTGCGCCTCCGAGCCGCGGCTCCTCCCCTCCCCCGCGGCCCTTCCCGCTCGCCCGCCCGCCCGCCGCCGCCAGGGGAGGGGCTGCACGCGAGAGACTCACGCGCCTCAAAGCGGCCGCCCGGTGCCTCGCTCGGCGGCGGGAAGGCTCCTCGCTTGGGGGGCCTGGCTGACAGGGGGCCGGGCTGCGTGTCCGGCACCGCAGGGAAAGAGAAGCGAAACCTCTGCAGGAGACGCCAGCTGCCGCCTCAGCTGGGGACACGTGCAGGGGAGTTGACTCCCTCGTCAGCTCCCTTCCCTCCGGGCTGGATCCTTTCACCAGAGGGATAACAGTGAAATGTTTGAAAGGACCTTTCCCAGCTGAAATCGGGTCAGTGTGGGAAAAAAAAGAAAGTGTGATGGTTTCAGTGCCTAACTTTAATCCTGGTATTTTAATCAGAGTCCCCTTCTTCTAAAAATTACAGTTATTACTAAACATGTACATTAAGGCATCAGCCTACATTATTCCCCCTTCCTTTCCTCCAATTGCTGTCTGAAAGATACAGGCAAACAAACACCCCACATATGGTCAATGCAAAACTCAGTGGGACTCTATTCATACTCACCTGCAAGATCAGGGCCCACAGGGGAATTGACTGACTAGGCAGCAGTAGATAAGGCACTGGGCTGAAATTCAATAGATTACAGTTCTATTCCACTGACTTGCTGGGTAACCTTGGGCAAAGCACTTAATTGCTCCATTCTTCAGTTTCCCCATCTACCCTTTGCTAGTCTTGTCTGCTTGTGGTGTAAGCATTTCAGACCAACCACTGTGTGTTTATAGGATGCCTCAAACCATGTGGCACTGATATTAGTTGGTTCCTTTAGGTGCTACTATAATATAAATAACAATATACAAAGGAAAACAGTGTTACTGACTGTACACAGTGTAGACAAAACCACAAAGTAAAACTGAAAAAAATAGAGAAAAATACATTTTTCTCTACTCCCTTTCAGATATTGTAGTGTTTGATGTTTCTTGAAACAATAGAATTTTCACATACGTGTGATTTTATTTTGATTGCATCTCTTTAGACATTGCAGCATTTAGGATGAGACTAATGAGAGCTACACTGAGACTTCTGCAAGATCAGAGCTTTCAAGTATCATCATTAGGTTTCAGAGATCATGGTTTACACATCTTATTGCAGAATTGGCACCTATGGGCAGACTCAGTAACACAGATAGCCTGTAATAACGTCTGCACAGGGAAACTGTAAAAGTTCCAGTAGAGCACAGCAGTTCAATCCCTGCTTAAGATGCCAGTCCAAAATTTCTCTGTAAAGATATTAAGTATAATTCTGTGTCACCTTTAGCAGACAAACCATTCTTAAAGATAACATACATAATGTTGTTTTTAATTGGTCTCATCCCCTTTTTTGGCATCTTTATTATGCATTAAAAACCCCCTGAAAGCTTGAAGGTTTTTTGATTTCCTTCCCCATTGCCTTCCCGCTGCCTTGTTTAACCCTAGAAATACCAGGAATGTAAATCTGATCTTTTCTGTTTTACTGGATGATTTATTGGGGAACTCAGAGCCTGTATATTGTGATGAGCATTCACATCTTAATGAAAGGAATGGGGGCAGGAGGGAAGATGTTGGCTCTTTAAGAAGGATATCCTTTCTCAAAAATAGTCCTTAGTGATTGGAGTTTAATGAATATTGACAAAAATCAATCAAAATAACCCCAGAGTTTTAAATGCTCAGATTAAAAATCCCTTCTCCTCTTAGTTATCAGGTTTCAGTCTCTTTTTTCAGCTTCTGATGTCATAATTTTACTAGATCTCCAATCACTTTTGGAATTACTCAGACTAGACAAATTCCTAATCTAAAAAAACAAACTGAATGCTTCCCTCCTCCCTTTTAAAGACATCATAAAGAAGCACACAGACATCAAAAGCCCAGCAGGTTAGTTTTAAGCAAGTGATTTTTGTTACTCCTTTGAGTGGTCACGTAGGGCCCTTTTTTCTGTATGGGCACTTGCCTGTCTTCAACCTGATGCAGCCTTGCAAATGGGAATAAAATGAAATGGTTCTGGTATGAAGACTATGCAAAAGAGATCCTGTCTTAACCGAAACTTTTAACCTAGTGGTACAGTGGTTCTCAGACTGTGGCTCATGACTCCCATTGGTGGTTCACAGAGTCATTGCTGGTGGTCTGTGGAGCTGAGTCTATCACAATGGTGAAAAATGCATAACTGAAACAAAAGCCTCCTATGCAACTTCAATTGTGTATGTGTCAGACTTCAAAGAGAGCCCCCTTATGTGCCTATGTTTGTTGGGCTGCTGCACAGGGATTGGAGTCTGTTAATAAGTTTCTTCTTTGTCAGGTGTTTCTTTGGTGTAAGTTCATCCACAATCAAATTTGTTGATGGAAACCACTTCATGCCAGGGGGTGTGGAAGTACCCCCAGCACTCTTAGTTCCGGTACTTCTGTCAAAGATTCTTAAATAATTCAATTCAGATCAAGCATTGACTGGCCAATCTGTGCTGACATAATTTGTTTAGCACCCATAATGTCCAGTACAAAAATATATATTTCCTGCCCCAAAAACTTATGTAAAGACCCTCTAGGATGGTTATGAAGAGAGCAAGATGGCAGCAAACAGCAAGAGAGGGGAGATTCTGTGCATAGGGGCCAGAATTATAAACCAATTTTCAGGCACTACGTTAAACATGGTTCCACCACTGCTGGAATACTGTGTCCAGTTCTGGTGCCCACAGTTCAAGAAGGATATTGATAAATTTCAGAGGGTTCAAGGAAGAGTCATGAGAATGATTAAAGGATTAGACAACATGCCTTATAGTGATAGACTCAAGGAGCTCAATCTATTTAGTTTAACAAAAAGAAGGTTAAGGGGTGACTTGATTACAGACTATAAGTAACTACATGGGGAACAAATATTTAATAATGGGCTCATCAATTTAGCAGAGAAAGATACAACACAATACAATGGCTGGTAGTTGGAAGCTAGACAAGTTCAGACTGGAAGTAAGGTGTAATTTTTTAACAATGAGAATAATTTACTATTGGAACAACTTACCAAGGCTCGTGATGGATTCTGCATCACTGACAATTTTTAAATCAAGGTTGGATGTTTTTCTAGAAGATATACTCTAGGAATTATTTGGGGAGAAGCTCTATGGCCTGTGTTACACTGGAGGTGTAGACTAGATGATCACAATGGTCCCTTCTGAACTTGGACTCTATGAATTGATGAACTTGGTTCAAAGGCCAGTATAGACAGCCTTATGGACTTGGGAAGTGGAAGATTTGAGTTCAAAAGGGAGTTCATAATATGTTAGTATCTCAATATATAAATTAGACCAAACTGTTTATTTGTTACTGTGTCGTGATATGGCCTATGATGTCCAGCATGATTCCATAATCCAGTTAAAAATTGATTCACACGCATCCAGAGCAGATGACCAAACACTATTGTAACTGGGTTTTCTAACATTTATTTATTTTAGAGGTGATAACCGAAATTTCAGTCTCTTACTTTCTGCCAAATGTGGTTTGAAGACTCCTTGCTCTGCTTTTTGCTGTGTCCAGTAGAGACAGACAATGGCACAACAGTGACTTGAGTTAGGTGTCTAATAATAATATACATTTCTATAACACTTTTTGTCCTGAGAGGTACCAAAGTGCTTTACAGATGGATGCATGCATTACTACTGAAATGCACTCACTTCTAAGGAACAAAAGTTTGGCTGATGCTATACAAAACAAAACAGAGACTGCAGAGTTGCTTGAATTATGCCAGTGTAGTCTCCTTAAACTTTTTCATGTTGTAGACACTTTTTAAAATTAAGATTCTCCTCCAATGGCCATCTCCTCTTCCAAAGTTGATTCCACACTTTTCCCACAGCAAAGTATGCTTGGCTACATTAAAAATATATATAAATATTGGAACAACATTAAGGAGACAATAAAAATTAACTCATTTTAATGGGACCAGTGCAGCTTTTCCTTTCCCTTTTCCTTTCCCCATAGTTCTGTGTTTTGGAGAGGCATATTGTATAAATGAAAGAGAGAGGTAAAATGTTTCCCCTCCCTAGATGTAAGACTCCACATATGTTGGTACGGAATCTCCCCCATTGTCTGTAACCCCACATTGTTCTAATCTCGCCAAGTCACTTTGCAATTAGACTCTGTCCCCTTCTGTTTGCTACTCTTCCGATTTTGCAGTACCCCGGTCTTTGAAACCATATGCCATAGCTGTACAGCAAATGAAAAAGAGTTGCTACAAGATAACAGTTGCAGCATCCTTTTCCTTTCCCTCTCCCTCTCCATTGCTTGTGTTGTCAGTTGTATCATGTCTCCTTTTAGACTGAAAGCTCTTTGAACCTGTCTTTCCTATGTTCTGTGATGCACCTAGCGCAGTTCTGGATAAGTAATAAATAATAATGTTTATAAGATGAAGAAAGAGGAGCTGGCAGAAATTAGACTGGCACCCTCCATGGAAGGGTTATAGCTCGATGGTTGACAACCTATGGGTCTTGGATCCCTAGTTGTTCCTGGATGCCCAGGTAGTGTCAATTAAAGTATATTTTTATTAACTGCATGTGGTAAGATAGTTTTTTGCTTACCTTTTGGATTAGGATCCTGTACAGTTACTCATGCCTCAAGGTTAGAATATTTCACTCTGATGTATATGGGGTCATAGCGTCAAACCATTCAGAAACTGCAGCTAGTTCAGAATTTGGCTACCTACTTAAGTGAGGGGGGTTCATGCAGAGAACACATGACATGCATGCTCCATGATCTGTGTTCGCTGCCAGATTATTTCTGGGTCAGGTGTAAGGTGTTGTTTTTGATCTATAAGTTTCTAAAATAGGGGCGCGTCCATGTACCAGCAACGCAGATACAGGTAAGTAACCGTTTTCATGTTCTCTCCACAGGTACTAATGCGGAGAGTGGACTAGATGATATATCTGAGGGAAGGGAACAGAAGGAGACTCCGCCGATTGGAAGGCATGAGATGCA